CAGGGTAAACTCCTTCTTGGACACCCCTAGAGTGGAGGATGTCTCCTCTTTGTAAGTAAAATGACTCCCCTCCATCTGCATTTCAGTCACTTTCTCCCTCTACCCACCCTGCTTTTTAATACCCCATGCATCTCTCCAGGTTCAAGGTCTTATTTCTGTCCCAAGGTCCCACCTCCTTGGCCAAGCGCCTCCCTTATTGTGAACTCTAACTTCCCAGAGCCTCTAACACGAGCCGATCGGAACCTGTAGGTGCTTGATTCCCTCATCCTGAAAACTCACCCTTGCCCAGCGGGTGGCGATGGAGCTTGGGAAGAAGCCGGGAAGGCGCGCGCGCGTGCACATAGACACACACCCCCAAAAACCTTGGAACAGGGCCACCCCATCCGCCGCCCCTTCCCTCTGCCTCTCACCTGCTGCCACGAACAGGATCCCTGCGCCCAGAATGATGTTCCTCTTGGACTTGTAGACCCGGGAGGCAGCCACACACACGCCCCCGAGCAACAGGAGGATGGCACTGAGGATGGGGAAGATGCTGGAGGCGCGCACGACCCCTGCGGGAGGAGGGGAGGCGGGCTGGGGTCCCCAGGGGCCGCGGCCGGTCTCTCTGGAGGACCCTCGTGCCCCTCTGCTTCGCTCCTGGCTTTCCTTGTCCCTCCTCTCCCACCACCCATTTTCTCCCCTTTTTATAAATGTTTTCAGTCTGCTTTTCCCTCTTGCTGTTTCTCGCTTTCTCAGTCCCTTTTCTGGTTCCTGGGAATTCTTCCCTCCTTCCTCTCTGACTTTTGCTCTGAGGTTCTCTATTCCTGTAAATGACCTTTTCCTCCTTTCTCTTTCTTGCACATCCTCTCCTCTTCTGCAAATCTCTGGGGTCCCCCACGCCCCTCTTTCCACCAAATCGCTCATTCACAACGTCTTCCCCCTTTCCTAATTTTCTTTAATTATCTATCATATATATAATTGATATGTAATTCTCTTTCCACTTATTTCCTTCTCTCACTTCCCCTCTTTTCTGTTTTCCCCCTCTAGGTCTCTATGTAAACATCTATATAGATAATTTTTCCTCTCTTTATGCCTCTAATTTGTCTCCTTTCTTGTCAGCTTGGCTTTTTCTAACTCGCTCTCTCTCGCTCTCAAAATCAATCCCTATATTCCTCGGTCTTTCCATCTACGATTCAAAATCTACAGGATGACAGTAAGTATCTTTCCATCTCTTTCTCCCTCTGTAGTTTTTTCCACCCCCCTAAAGAGCCCAGGCAATCAGATTTTGCCATTTCTGAAGCTGGCTAGGGTCGCAGCCAATCACAATGCAGGGTTTGCGGGTGCCCGCGGCAGCTGCCAATCGCAGCGCAGGCTATTCCCGGCGGAGAGGGGAGGGGTCAAGGGGGCGCTGAACCAATAAGAATCAGAGGATCTCGGGGTCTGTCCTGGGATTGGCTGCGATGCTAAACACAGCGTGTCCATCCTCTGGCCCATCCTTCTCCAGCCACCCCACCCACCGTGGGCTCTGGGGACCCGGGACCCCCACGTACGGAGCAGATACTCCGCGCTGTCATGGTCATAATCCGTGTCCTCTGGGAAGTGGTTGATCTTCACGCAGACGCCTCTTTTCAACCCTGGAGGGGGATGGGGATGATAGTGGGTGGAAGTTGGGGCTCCCCCACCCCAGAAAACACAATTCCCTTTTCCAGTTCCTATCTCCCTCTGGGCTGAATGGGAATCAGGCAGCAGGCCCTGGATCCTGACCCCAGCCAACATCTCAGATCACAGGCCCTGCTTGACAGTTAAAAGTGAGAATCTACCCTGCAGGTGCTAACTGCTGACTTTCTTCACTTTGTGAATCAATGCTCAAGCCACTGTGGCTCCAGGAGCGAGTCTTTATTTGAAGGATCCCAGCTACTGAAACCCCATGTGAAGGTCGAATCTAGGCTTGGGTTTGCGGGGTGTGTGTGTGTGTGTGTGTGTGTGTGTGTGTGTGTGTGTCTTGATTCCTTATCACCACCACCACTCTTTTAAAAAGAAAAACAAACTGAGTCTATGAGGATATTCCCTAGAAGGTCACACAAGACAAGACAAGTCACTCAGCCTCTCTCGGCCTCTGTCTGTGTTGCAAGACAGTAGATGCTGGGTCAATTATTTCAAGGCTTGCCTGCTCCAGGCCATGGTCTTTAAAATTGTTTCTATGCATCAGAGAGCTGGACAATGACTAAGGTTGACAGAAGAAGAATAGATGCCTTTGAGTTACGGTGCTAGAGAACAGTCTTGAACATAACCGTGGACTGCCAAGAAAACAAATCGGCCTGTCTTGAAGAGGTTGAAACCAAGACTCTCCTTGGAGGCTAGGATTTTGAAGCTCTGTCTCACATACTTTGGGCACGTGGCCAGGACGGACTGGTCCCTGGAGAAGGACATCATGCTCAGAAGGGTAGGTGCACAGTGCAGGAGAGGAAGACCCCAGATGAGATAGACTGATAGAGTAACTGGGGTGATGGGAATAGGTGTGTTGGAGTCAATGAGACTGGCTCAGGACAGAGTAGGCTTCAGAGCTGTAGTACACAGGGGCGCTGTGAGTTGCAGGCACCTTGATGGCACATAACAACAGCTCATGCTGAGAAAGGCAGAGGGTCCGCAGAAGAGAGAGAGAGACCCTCAACAATTTGCATTGTCTATAACAATGAACTCGAGCGTGACCGAGCTGGCAAGAATGACTCAGGACAGGACGAGGTGTTGATGAATGAATGATGCTATGAACGATGGTCAACTTGACAAAACCAAAACACTAAACCCACTGCTACTCATTCAATTCGGGCTCATCGCGACCTTGTATGTAGGACAGGGAACCGCCCACAGTTTCCAAGGCTGTAATCTTTACAGAACATTGCTTTGCATCTCTCCCTCGGAGCCACCAATCTTTCAGCTAGCAACCAAGAGCCTCAACCAGTGCGTCCCCAGGGACCTTTACTGCTCAAAGCCACAGCTGTCAGTCTCTTGGACACACAGCAACCTTTTATGGGGCTTCTGCGAAACCTTACACATAGCCACCTCATCTTTCTGTCAAAGGGGAGGAGGTAGATTTGAACCTTCTGACTTAGCTCACAGCCCTACTCACCACCAGGACGCCTTTATGCAGCATCTAATAGCTCAGTAGTGGGTGCCAGTTGCCATGGCAGCCATCCAGACTCATGCCACCCCCCCATGTGTCACAGGAAAGGCAACCCATGAGGGCTTCAAGGCTGTGGCCTCTCAGAAGCCGATCACCAGGCTTTTCTTGGGATGCACCTCCGGGAGGGTCCAAACTTAAGATTCTCGTATTCAAGTGCTTTGCTGTGCATGCCCGCAAGGCAGTCCTAACCCAATAGAACAGACTCCAGCTCTCACCCCACGGGGTTTCCTAGTCTTGTAGGCCTTTGTTGAAGCAGCTGCCACATGGTTCTCTCTGAGTGGCTGGTGGATTTGAACCCATGACCTTCAGGCTGGTGAGCTAGTCTCCAGCTCAAAGAGAGCACCGTGCCATCGAGTCACAACCAACTCCTAGCTGGCCTGCTAGAGGCTTTTCAGAGGCTGGGCATTACACACAGACGGAGGTGGCCCATCTTCCGTCTAATTAGTGGGTTTGAACCGCCTGCCTTTGGGATGGCAGCACCACTCCTTCCCCACTAGGCCACCAGAGCTTTCATGACCTCTCAGCCAACAATGGCCCACTATATGCATCGTCTGTGCTGATGCTGGGGAGTAACAGTGGCGTCATCTGTACGGTGTTGTGTTGCTGACAGAAGGGCTGTTCCTCTCTGGAGGTTCAAATCCACCAGCTGCTATACAGGAGAAAGAGGGGCCATCTCCTCCTTCATGATCTACAGCCTCAGAAACGCCATGAAGGACGGTCAGCGATGAGCCAGTTCCCTCTCGACACCCACGAGCTTTTGCTGAGACCAGTGCTAAGCCTGCGATAAACCCCAGGCGGGAGGATGGACCAGCCCCAGAAGACTTTCAAGGCCAAGCTCTACAGAAGCCGACTGACGTCATTCTCCTGTGAGAGGCAGGTGGATTCCAACTGCTGATCTTCTGCGGAGGAGCTCAGTGTTTAACCCACCCCGCCACCAGAGCTTTAGCCCGTGGGTAGGGAGGACTATCCATCCCTTCCTTTCTGCATTGAACCTGGAACCCTCTGGAGAGAGATGAGGTGATTGAAGCTAAAAAGATGTGCACAGTGGCGGGTGAAGGAGGTGGTGCAACCTCGCCTCCTTTCTTCCACATGGTTTCCTTCTCCTGACCCTCAGATTCCCCTCTTCACACCCCTTGGGGATGTCTCATCTCTGGAGGTACCTCCTGTGTGTCTCTCCAGCATCCAGGTTTTATGCACTTGCTGTGGGTCGTGCCAGTGACATTTTTCATCGATATAATTCTTACCTGTTTGTGGTGAGCTGGTGGGGCATCTCATTCAGAAAGTTTTCCCTGATCTCTCTCATTTCTTTCTCTCATTTCTCTCTCTCTCATTCTCTCCCTCTCTCTCTCACACACACTTTCCCATCCCACTTCACAGTTAATCTCATTCCTTGCCCCCAGGTTGAGCCACCTCCCGGTGCGAACCAACCCCCTTTCTGACACACATCACAGGGCTCTGAGATCTCCAGCATCCTTGCTGAGCTTAGGGTTCTGAAGAGAACTTTCTTTTCTGTCTCTGTGTGTCCTTTGTGCCACCCCAGAATCTCCTGGCTAAACAGACTCCTAGCTGATGCTCCGGGGAGGTGGGGCTCCAAGACTGTCCGTTACATGGATGGAGAGTACCCTTTTTTTTTCTCCTGAGAAGGGTTCAATCAACAATGAATGACTGAAAACACAGTCCTTTTGGGGTTGATTGGTTGATTTGAACCCTTAGAGAGACACAGCCTTTGAGGCCTGGACCTGATAAACAGGAGATCTTGAGATATTGAGGTTGAGATCTTCAGAAAACGGTGCTTTGAATGAAGGCATGAGAAGAAAAGAAAGAGAGAGAGAGGAGGGGAAGGGAAGGAAGGAAAAAAGAAAGAAAAAGAAGGAGAAGGAAGAGGAGAAGAAGAGGAA